GGAAGGAAGGAAGGAAGGAGAAAAACTATAATTCCAGTTGAGTGAACCATTCAACTATAGAATCAGAAAGATGGAGATGTTCTTGCTAGGACTGGTCATATCATTGGCAATGTGACACTGTCACCTTAGGCTACAGAGGCTGAGAAAGAACAGTAGGGCAATGGAGTATGTATCCTCATTCCAGACCTGGCCTCCAGATGTGGTAGACATTTTCCCTATCTTCAGAACTGAAGTAACATTCCAAAGCCACCCTGGGCCATGTCTGATTTTAGCAGGTCACTTACTTATATCTCCATGTGGTGCGGTGGCCTAGAGGTGGAGCTCTCGCCTCACAATCAGGAGGCTATGAGTTCAATCCTAGGTAGAGGCAGATATTTCTCTCTCTGGGCACGATGAGAATATATCTGAACAAAACTCTGCATTGGTGACAGGAAGGGCATCCGGCCAGTAAACATTCAGCTCCATTCAGTTGCCCAGACTTCACCCCGGAAGGGATTGTGGGGATCGTTAAAAGAAGATGATGATGATAACTTACTTATAACTCCATACTCAGTGCATGGAATATGGTGCCAGAATGCCCTATGCAGTGACCATCCATGGTCATATCTCGGAGAGTCTTCCAATTTCCTAGCCCAGGGGTCTGCAACATTAAATACTCAAAGAGCCATTGGGACCCGTTTCCCACAGAAAAGAAATTATAACAACAGCTAGAAGTTATTCATTTTATATAAGCTAATTCTATAAAGGAAAATAAATTCTAAATGATATTTAGGATGTATTTTTTTTTTTTTTTGGAAAAAAAAACGGAATCGATTTATAGCGTACAGAAATAAAACTGTTTGATTCAAATTACCTCTGGAAAAAGAAAAATTAACATTTTGAATAGCGTGGGAAATTATCTGGGTTGATTGAACGGAGCGATTAGCTGTGGCTCTTATTACCTTGATAACGGAAAGAAGGAATTGAATATATTTGGGGTATTTTCAGACAGGAACCTTCCAGCGAGAATAATCAAAAAGCACGGTGCGGTTCTTTCATCTTTTTTTTAAAAACAGATTGTCACTGGCAAGAAAAAAGACAGAAAAAGGACACGATAGCAAGTGGAAATCTCCATTGCTCTTATTATTCCCCAGAAAATGCTGCGACAAATAAGCAAACGCTTTTGCCACAGCTTTAAAACGAGCGTATCTATTATGGTATAAATTCCAGAGATGAAACTGTACAGTTAGCACTACTCCATAAGAAGAACGCAGCGGCAATAAAGGAATGGAATTGCAGAGGATCTGGTGATGATTGCATTATTAACAATGGCCATTCAGAAAATCTTGGATGTCACTAACAGTCTTCATGCTGATCTCGCCTGCTCAAGATAGAAGCTATATATATATATTGGTTCTTGGCTTTGTGGTGGTTGGCTTTTTATTTAATGTGCTTTCAAGTCCGGGTTGACTCCTGCCTGGACAAGTCCCTGTAAATTTTCTTGGCAAGATTTCAGAAGTGGTTTGCTGTTGCTTCCTTCCTAGGACAGAGAAAGAGAGAGACGGAGGGAGGGAGAGGGAGAGGGAGAAGGAGAAAGGGAGGGAGGGAGTGGGAGAGGGAGAGGGAGAAGGAGAAGGAAAGGGAGAGAAGGATGGAGAGAGTAGGTGAAGTAGAGGGAGAGGAAGGGAGGAAGGAGGGAGGGGGAGAAGGAGAAGGAGGGAGGGAAAGGAGAAGGAAAGAGAGAGGGAAGGTGGGAGAGCGTAGGTGAAGGAGAGGGAGAGGAAGGGAGGAAGGAGGGGGGGAGAAGGAGAAGGAGGGAGGGAGACGGAGAAGGAAAGAGGGAGGGAAGGTAGGAGAGAGTAGGTGAAGGAGAGGGAGAGGGGGGAGGAAGGGGAGGGGAGAGGGAGAAGGAGGGAGGGAAAGGAGGGAGGGAGAAGGAGAAGGAAAGAGGGAGGGAAGGTGGGAGAGAGTAGGTGAAGTAGAGGGAGAGGGAGGAGGGAGGAGAGAGGGAGAAGGAGGGAGAGGGAGGGAGACAGAGAAGGAAAGAGGGAGGGAAGGTAGGAGAGAGTAGGTGAAGGAGAGGGAGAGGGGGGAGGAAGGGAGGGGGAGAGGAGAAGGAGGGAGGGAGAAGGAGGGAGGGAGAAGGAGAAGGAAAGAGGGAGGGAAGGTGGGAGAGAGTAGGTGAAGTAGAGGGAGAGGGAGGGAGGAAGGAGAGAGGGAGAAGGAGGGAGAGGGAGGAGAAGGAGAAGGAAAGAGAGAGGGAAGGTGGGAGAGCGTAGGTGAAGGAGAGGGAGAGAAGGGAGGAAGGAGGGAGGGGGAGAAGGAGAAGGAGGGAGGGAGGGAGACGGAGAAGGAAAGAGGGAGGGAAGGTGGGAGAGAGTAGGTGAAGGAGAGGGAGAGGGGGGAGGAAGGGGAGGGGGAGAGGGAGAAGGAGGGAGGGAGAAGGAGGGAGGGAGAAGGAGAAGGAAAGAGGGAGGGAAGGTGGGAGAGAGTAGGTGAAGAAGTAGAGGGAGAGGGAGGAGGAGGAGAGAGGGAGAAGGAGGGAGAGGGAGGGAGACAGAGAAGGAAAGAGGGAGGAAGGTAGGAGAGAGTAGGTGAAGGAGAGGGAGAGGGGGGAGGAAGGGGAGGGGGAGGGAGAAGGAGGGAGGGAGAAGGAGGGAGGGAGAAGGAGAAGGAAAGAGGGAGGGAAGGTGGGAGAGAGTAGGTGAAGTAGAGGGAGAGGGAGGGAGGAGAGGAGAGAGGGAGAAGGAGGGAGAGGGAGGGAGAAGGAGAAGGAAAGAGAGAGGGAAGGTGGGAGAGCGTAGGTGAAGGAGAGGGAGAGGAAGGGAGGAAGGAGGGAGGGGGAGAAGGAGAAGGAGGGAGGGAGGGAGAAGGAGAAGGAAAGAGAGAGGGAAGGTGGAGAGAGTAGGTGAAGTAGAGGGAGAGGGGGAGGAAGGGGAGGGGGAGAGGGAGAAGGAGAAGGAGGGAGGAGGGAGACGGAGAAGGAAAGAGGGAGGGAAGGTGGGAGAGAGTAGGTGAAGTAGAGGGAGAGGGAGGGAGGAAGGAAGAGGGAGAAGGAGGGAGAGGGAGGGAGAAGGAGAAGGAAAGAGGGAGGGAAGGTAGGAGAGAGTAGGTGAAGTAGAGGGAGAGGAAGGGAGGAAGGAGGGAGGGGGAGAAGGAGAAGGAGGGAGGGAGGGAGAAGGAGAAGGAAAAGAGAGGGAAGATGGGAGAGAGTAGGTGAAGTAGAGGGAGAGGGGGGAGGAAGGGGAGGGGGAGAGGGAGAAGGAGGGAGGGAGAAGGAGGGAGGGAGAAGGAGAAGGAAAGAGGGAGGGAAGGTGGGAGAGAGTAGGTGAAGTAGAGGGAGAGGAGGGAGGGAGAAGGAGAAGGAGGGAGGGAGGGAGACAGAGAAGAAAGAGGGAGGGAAGGTGGGAGAGCGTAGGTGAAGTAGAGGGAGAGGGAGGGAGGAAGGAGAGAGGGAGAAGGAGGGAGAGGAGGGAGAAGGAGAAGGAAAGAGGGAGGAAGGTAGGAGAGAGTAGGTGAAGTAGAGGGAGAGGGAGGGAGGGGGAGAAGGAGAAGGAGGGAGGGAGGAGAGACAGAGAAGGAAAAGGGAGGGAAGTTGGGAGAGCGTAGGTGAAGTAGAGGGAGAGGGAGGGAGGAAGGAGAGAGGGAGAAGGAGGGAGAGGGAGGGAGAAGGAGAAGGAAAGAGAGAGGGAAGATGGGAGAGCGTAGGTGAAGGAGAGGGAGAGAAGGGAGGAAGGAGGGCAGGGGGAGATTCGGAGTCTTGCTGGCGGCGAAGGGACTCCTGCCCCGCTCGGTCCTGAGGGAGCTCGAAGGTTCCTACGAGTTCCTGGTGGTGCGTCCGGGGAGGGGCGATGGCTCAGGGCGAGGCCCGGTCGGAGGGAGCCTGAGAGGGGAAGGAGGGAGGGTTCCTGAGAAGGCTCGGGACGGAGCCTGACGCGAGCTCGGTGGAGTGGGAGTTGCTCCGGAGGGTCGTGCTTTCTTTCTCCTCTCCTTCCCTCTGAGAGGTCCTTAGGCCGAGCGTACTTAGCCGACTCTTTAGGGTGTTTTCTGGTTCATCCTTCTCTGCGTCGACTTGAGGAGCTCCTGTCTCCTGAGAGGTCTCTCTGTCCTTATTTCGCTCGAGGGAGTCCGTCTCTTGAGAGTGTTTCTGCCGAGAGTGGTTCGCTGTCTCCTGCTTCTTGTCTGGGGGAGGAGTGGAGGGAGCCTGGTGAAGGAGAAGGGAGGGCCGAATGGGCGCTGGGAGGAGCCTGTCATCTTGAGAGTTGAGTTCTGGTGATCCGGAGCCGAGAGGGAGGGAGTCGGAGAGCTCCTGCCCTCGGGAGTTCCTTATTGCTCCGACTGAGCCTACTCTTTCGAGGTTCGGTCTGAGCTAGAGGGCCTTCTCCTCTGAGGGAGGAGGGAGGGAGGCCTTAGGTCGTCTCCCTTTTCTCCTGTCCGCTTTCGAGCTCTCTATGGGAGTCTCTTTCTCCGAGGTCTCTCTTTCTCCGTCTTGAGGAGAGGGAGAAGGAGGGAGAGGGGAGGGAGAAGGAGGGAGGGGGGAGAGGGGGAGAAGGAGAAGGGAGGGAGAGAGAGGAGAGAGAGGGGGAGAGAGAGAAAGGTGGAGATGGAGATGGAGATGGAATTTCCAGTCTCTTGGTGATCAGCCCAAGATCACCAAGCTGATTTTGTCCCTATGGTGGAACTCACAGCCTCCTAGTGATTGAGCCAAGGTCACTCAGCTGCCTTTGTCCCTAAGGCGAGACTAGAACTCACCATCTCCTGGTGATTGGCCCAAAGTCACCAGCCAGCCTTCGTGCCTAAGAATTCGGTCTCTAGGTTGATGCCTTCACCAATACCCCAAAACTGGCTCTCCTGTTCATCATTTCTTCTAGGCTTTAAGATTTAAAATGGGGACCAGTTACCCGAATCTCTGTCCTTAGCTCGAAGTGGCTGCAGGCCCGCTTGACACGGGTTGAGTAAATTCTCTTCCAATTCTGTGCAGAAATTTCAAAATTTACGCTGCATGGCATTTTGAGAAACTAAAGGAAGCCATCTCCTCCAGCCCATCTTTCGATAACGGTATTTCCAAGGTGCCTCTTTAGATTGGGTAGGTGATCTTCCCGCTAAGCCTTTTTGTCATTCTCGATTTGCCTGGTGACATCTCGGCCCCTCGCTTGCAGGAGCAGCTTGGAGAACAGATGCTGACTGCACCGCTCGGTCTGCGGAAATGCACTCGGGTGTGTGCTGAGTCACACAGATTTCCCATCACTTTGGGGAGGACCAGCTGCCAGCGTGAAACTAAGGAAGAGGTGCATTGGGAGTAGGAAATTTTCAAAACCTATGGCTTGGTGACTACATACATGGATGCAAACGCAGCTCTCTGAGCTTGGTGGTTTTCTTGCAGATCTTTCTTTTCTTTTCTTTTCTTTTCTTTTTTTTTTGGCAGTATCCACACTTTTCTGCTTAAGTGCTTTTTCACTTTTTTTTTTTTTTTAATTTTAAAACCAAACTTTATTCAATTTAAAAAGATAAAAGATTATACAAAACGTTCTTAACTCTATAAAAAAAGTACAATTCTAAATTACATATATACTCAAACTAACAAACAGGATTATCTATCTATATTTAAACATGTAAATACATAGATACATTAACCTTGATTTCTTAATGACGGTGTAAATTTGTTACCCTTAATTTCTTACTGTATTTGACTTTAGTTTTTTTTTCCCATCGATTGATCCATTCATACCATCTGTCCCATATTTTGTAATACTGTGAGTCTTCCTTGTTGTTTAATTTTAAAGTTAATCTATCCATTTCTGCACATATGAATATTTTTTGGATTATTTGTTGTTCTGTTGGCAACTGTTCTAATTTCCAGGATTGGGCTAAGGTTAATCTAGCCGCCTTAATTATATGCAATGTGATGTATTTTATTTCTTTTCTACTACTTTTTTTAAGTATGCCTAATAAAAAAATTTCAGGTTTTAGGTCAATGTCTTCTTCTGTTATTTCTGTTATCCATATTCTAATTTTCATCCAAATTTTTTTAATTTTTGGGCAAAGCCACCAAAGATGATAAAAGGTTCCCAGTGATTTTCTGCATTTCCAACATATCGGATTACAATTTGGGTACATTTTTGCCAATCTAGCAGGGGCTAGGTGCCACCTATACCATATTTTATAGTGGTTCTTGCAGACCTTTCATTACCAAACTAGGTAGTGTTATTAGCACCAAGGGCCCCACAATTCAACCCTGAGCTACAACTATTCTGTTGATCTGAATCTGATTGGATTCAAACAGTGGTCCCTGGTCTTTACTTGGGATGTGCCCTGCGGATGCTAGTTACTAGTTTGTGTTTTTCTGTGCTTTATAAAACATTAAATAAAAAGAGTGGTGAGGTAGCCTAGAGGTGGAGCTCTCTCCTCACAATCAGGAAGGCTGTGAGTTCGATCCTAGGTAGAGGCAGATATTTCTCTCTCTGGGCACGATGAGGACAGAGCTGAAGAGACAGCTAAAAACCAATTGAGAGTCTGGGAAAAAAACATAGGACATAATTTAAATTTTAACGAATGGGAAGAGGCTTGGAATAAAAATCACAAATTGACCAGAGCCACGACGTATAAGGAGAACCACTATAAAATGCTTCACAGCACCTGCCAGACTAGCTAAGATGTTTCCCAATATGCACCCCAATTGTTGGAAATGTGGCTATGGTCAGGGCACCTTCTATCACATGTGGTGGACATGCCCCGAAGTGAAAAGATACTGGAATAGAATTCGGAGATGACTACAAGAAATAATTGGAGAAGACATAGAATTGGCACTGGAAATATTTCTCCTGGGAATAGTAAAGAAGGGGTATGGAAAGAAAAAGATCCATCTGATAATACATATAACTACAGCTGCTAGACTGGCATATGCACAACTCTGGAAAGAGAAAACTCTGCCACCAGACGAACTAATAATTAGGAAAATACTGGAGTGCGCAGAGATGAGTAAATTAACATATGAAATAAACAACAATGAGAACTCAGAGTACTATACTGTGTGGGAAAGGTGGTATGAATGGATGAACGATAGAATCAAAAAAGGAGTATAAGGTGCGATAAATAAATAGCAACAAATAGCTTATGTGACACTGTAGGAAGTTAGCACCCACCCCTTTCCTGGAAGAGTGAAATATTTTAGGAAATATGAAAAAGGCAGAATATTATATTTCCCTGGGATAAGCATGTTTTGAAGCAGCTCCCATCTTCCTGCCCTCACCCTTTGTCAATGGGCCATTAAGGCTTGGGCCAGTCTATTCTACATAACAAAGATCTACCTCCTTCAGGCAGAGCCAAAGTAGGAATTGCCAAAGATCCAACAAAGATAGGATTAGCCCTCTACACAATAGCAGCAGAAACTCACCACATGTGACCTGGGAAGCACATGTGACCATCAGCCAGCAAGGCTAGCTAAAACCCCCACCCCCTGGGAGTCTGACAACCAATCAGGATACTCTTTTGGGGCCCCAAGAAATGCAGAGCCAGAGAGAGCATAAAAACCCGAGGATTTTCTGTATCTGCTCTTTTCTGTCCAGGAACTCAAGCCATGTGATCCTGTCCACCATTAAACCATCTTTCCAAGCAGTCTCCATGTTTCCAGTGTCTGTTTCCCCACTTGGAGCAGAACCCAGAAGGATGTTTCTTCCAACACCACCAGATATATTTTATGTATATATGTATAAACACTGCAGATCCGATGTTAACAGAAATGAGATTTTTTGTGTATATATATAAAACTTAATAAAGTATATTTAAAAAAAGAGAGAGAGAGAATATATCTGCTGAACAAAACTCCACATTGGTGACAGGAAGGGTATCCGGCCAGTAAAACACTCAGCTCCATTCAGTTGCCCAGACGCCACCCTGCAAGGGATTATGGGGTCGTTAAAAGACGACGATGATAAAACATTAAATTAAAAAATATATTTTTAAAAAATTGCAAGACAGATTGTAGAAGAGCATTAAATCAGGTGATGGGACGCTGCCAGCAAACAGATTTGCCCAGGTTCTGCATTAAAGTAGTTGTCTGTTGGAAAGGAGGGAAGTTTGCAGAATTGCATACTAATGCCTCTTCTGCTGCATATTTATGGTGTCGACGCTGTCAGCTCAATGAAAGCATCAAATCCAGATGTGTTCCTTATTTATTTATATTTCATAGGAGTGAAACCAGCCCACCGGCATTATGCAAGATGCCAAAATTGACCTTGTTTTTTTTTCTTCTTCTTTGAAAATTTGACAGTCCCTGGCTTCTGCCATTCAAGGAAGTCCCATTCACATCATATTGCTTGGCTCCGTTCCTGATTTGTGTCAAGTCCTCCAGTGTCCTTCAAAAGGCACCAACAGTCTGCATTGCCCGTGGTGTTAAGTAAAAACTAATTTCGCTTCTGTAGAAATGAGACGGGATTGAATTTGGCAAGGGCTAAGGAGGACAGGCTGGAGAGAGATTGGTGCTAATACTTGACATTTGAAGCAAATGAAATGGGACGTGACGAATGCAGGTAGACCAGGGAACACCTGGTGAGCAGGCAAAACTCTTAGAAAAGGTTGGATAGGATAAAGATGAATTTCAGCTGAAGTGAAATGCTTTATGCTTCCACTCTTTTCTAAAGAAAAGGAAGCATACATCAAGGAAGGGTCTAGGACCATTGAACGCAGCCATTTTACCATGCCCATTTTCACCCCTGGCCTCCCACCACAGAATTGCCAGGGATGAGGGGGGCTGGAGAAGTGGCAGCAGGTCATGAGTGGGAGAGGAGTGCTGGCAGAGGGCCAGCCATGAATGCCCACGGTGAGTCAGCTGCAGTGGAGAGGCTGAGGTGAAGTTGGCGTGGTGAGGCCGCTGCATTCAATTGTCCCATTCCACCAAGGAAAAGGAGTAGAGTAGAGTAGAGTAGAGTAGAGTAGAGGAGTAGAATAGAATAGAATAGAATAGAATAGAATAGAATAGAATAGAATAGAATAGAATAACAGAGTTGGAAGGGACCTTGGAGGTCTTCTAGTCCAACCCCCAGCTTAGTCAGGAAACCCTACATCACTTCAGACAAATGGTTATCCAACATCTTCTTAAAGACTTCCAGTGTTGGAGCATTCACAACTTCTGGAGGCAAGTTGTAGTATAGAATAGAATAGAATAGAATAGAATAGAATAGAATAGAATAGAATAGAATAGAATAGAATAGAATTCTTTATTGGCCAAGTGTGATTGGACACACAAGGAATTTGTCTTTGGTGCATAAGCTCTCGGTGTACATAAAAAGACAAGATACATTCATCAAGAATCATAAGGTACAACACTTAATGATAGGCCAGTGTTGGCGAACCTTTTCGGCACTGAGTGCCCAAACTGGAATGCATACCGGAGCACAGGAAACCGAAAGATCAGCTGGACGGTGCGTATGCATGTGCCAGCCAACTGGTCTTTGGGTTTCCAGAGCATGCATGCACGCCAGCCAGCTGGTCTTCAGGTTGCTGGTGCTCTGGTGTGCAAAGACCAGCATGTATGCTGGAAACCAAAAGAGCAGCTGGTGACGGCACGTGTGCCCACAGAGAGGACTCTGTGTGCCACCTCTGGCATGCGTGCCATACAGGGGTGGGTTGTAAATTTTTTTACTACTGGTTCTGTGGGCGTGGCTTATTTTGTGGGTGTGGCTTGGAGGTCATGTGACTAGGTGGGCATGACTAACTGGTCAGAGTCATTTCTGTAAGGTCCTCGCACTTACGACCAGTCCTCGCACTTACAACCCAACTCATTTGTTTTCTTTTAACATTGATCAGCTGTAGGGTGGCCCTTTGAAGCCCGGTGGCAAGAGTTTAAACAGTTTTTTCCCCTCTAGTCATCAGCTGGGACTCAGGAGGCAGCAATAGATTGGGGGTGGGGCCAAATAAAAGGGAAGAATAATGTGGGGGGGGGTTTGAATATGCAAACAAGACAGGCAGGTGGTTAGCCTATAAACTGAAGAAAGAAAGGAATAAAAGAATTGTCACTGCGTTTTTTTATTTACCAGCTGAGCTCTCATTTTCTGGACTATCAGACATTCCGTAGCATGCCAAGAATTGTTATCAGTAAGCTAAACTGCGCATGTCATTCACCCACATTCCTTCACACAAACACTTTCCTTTGTTCTCTTGCCAGAAAGGTCCGGCTGAGAAATAGCCGGCACGAACTTTTGCAAAAATGTAACAATTACTTTTCTTAGTTAGTGAGATGTTTTATTTTTTCTTTATAACAAATAAATGAGTTTTCTTAGAAGAAATATCTTCGGGTTTTATTTTCTTAAAGTATGCTTGCAAGGAAAAGTCTCGATCCACTCCTCTTAATCAGGGTGCGATTGTCCCAAAGGCAGAATGGGATTAATCAGCGCCATGACACCTGGTAGCAGAGGGCGGTCAAAATTATGGCTTCTTTCCTTGTTTGTTACTTTGATAAGACCTCTAGGCTAATTAGACAGATATTTTTTTTTGCGACCGAGGAACACTAATTATCTGCTAAGATGCCGAGAAAGAAGAAAAAGGGCAAAATGAAACTCAGAGCATTCCCTATTAATGATTTCAACCTCTCCTACGAAGAAGAGGCAGAAAGGAGGATTTCAAACTTCCAGCCCCTTGCTACAGCCACACGCCTGGAACTAGAAGCTGTGGGAGAAGAAACAGACGAAATGCAGACTTCCTGTCTGGCTTCTGGCGCCGCCGACGGTCCTCTGTGACCACCAGCCCCGTTGCCTGTAAAGAGCCGCCTTTACACCTGAAAGGCGGCTCAAAAAACTCCATTTCCTGACGGAAATGTGAGTCAGAGCAGGCGAGGGCAGGTAGAGCCCTCTGCGAAGTCCCCAGAGTTTTTTTTTTAACTCTTGGGGACGAGCAGGTTGTGGCTCCCTATTCCCGCTCGCCGCTGCTCGGGCATCGGGAGAACTCTGCCTTTTTGCAGAGCTAGGCGCTGGAACCGGACTAATCAACGAACCTAACAGATGGATTAATTAAAAAAGATGAGACTTGGACTTGGGACCCTAAATTGCAAGTATCCTTAATGAATTTATAAGCATTTTAGAGTGAAAGAGAAAAAAACTTTAAAATGGTGACCGCTGAGGCTTGGGAAGTAGAAGAAAGCCGAGTCCTTCCATAACAGCTACAATGTAGCGGAATATATAGTGCTGGCTACAATTTGGAAGAAAAATAGTTATTTTAAGTTCCTTTCTTCTTGGAGATTTGTACTTGATCTTGTTTGGGGGAAAAAAAAGAGTTTGTTGGCAGGATGGCATTAAAACTTATAAAGCCTGATAGACAAGCAGTGGGGGGGGGTGCTTCCCACTCACAATTGTCTGAACAAGCTCTGAGCCTACAGACTCTGCAGAATGGTTTTAACCTAAAAGAATTTCTTCAGGAGGAAATGGCAAAATATTATGAGACTGTGAACCAGAAATTTGAAAAATTAAGGCAGGAAATTAAAGAAATGATACAACTAAAGTATGATAATTTGCAACGAAAGATTGTAACAGTGACTAATGGTTTTTCAGAAGTTGTTATAAAGTTGGATACAAATATCAAATTACTAGAGTCTAAAATGGAGGAAGTTGATGATAAGATTTATAATTTGGACAATAAAATACAAAGAATTGAAAATGATTTAATAAATATTCAAGACAATAGTTTACAAGTAAAGTCTAAAAAGGAAGCTGGTCACGAGACTTATAATGCAGAAGATATAAAGCAAGGGATTGAAAACGAAGTTGTAATGATGCAATACAGGCTTACAGAATTTGCGATCAGAATGAGAGGCTTACAGGAAAATAACAGTGATGATCTAAGAAAAATATCTGCTCAAGTTCTGGCTGGGATCTTAAAGGTTCATCCTGAGGAGGTATCTTGTAAAATTGATAAGGCCTATAGAGTAAATTCTTGGATTGCAAAGCAAAGGCAATTGCCTAGAGATGTGGTGATTTACTTTACAGATAAAGAAATAAGAAATGATATTGTGCAAAAATCCTTCAATTCTACTCCACAACTGTATGGGAGAAAAATTTGGATATATAAAGAATTGCCGCCTAAGATGTTAAGAGATAGAAAGAAATTTGGACTTTTGGTGACTGAGCTAAGAAAACAAAATATTTTATTCAGGTGGGATGTTCCAGTGGGTATAATATTGAGATATCAAGGAGAAAGATATCAGTTAAATACTGTTGAAAAAGCGGAAGCAAAATCAACAAGAGAAAGAAACTCAAGAAAAGCAGAAGGAGATGGAAGTAATGAAGAAACAACAAGTTACAGAGGTCTCCACAGATGAGCCGCTTTTGGATTCTCTCTCAGAGGTCTCAGCTGGACTATTTAATATAAGAGAGGCGGTTCCGGATACTAATGTAATGACTTATCAAGCCACAAACCAGCATGGAAATCAATCAGTTGATATACAATTTATAGAACCAGAAAGATTTAAGCCACAAAAGCAAAACCAACAAGATCAAGTTATAGATCAGCATGAAAACCAAATAGCTGATACACAATCTACAGAAAGGAATTCAGGACGGAGACCTAACCCACAAAAAATCAAGAAAAGAAGAAGCAGGTCTCACAAAAACAAAAACTTTTAAACTAAACAACAGTGTAATGCCAGTTATCTAAGAGATGATTGAATATATGAAAAGATAATGGGCAAAGTATTGGTTTATTTTATCCTGAGTAGAGTGACAGACCTCTGCAGTGCTGAACTTTTGGGATATGAAAAGGGCTTTAAATTGAATGGATTGGAAATATCTTTTTTTTTTTTTTTGGATTTTTTGATAAATATAGTTACGTTTATGCTGAGTTACATGGCAAGAGAGTTACTGGATTGGGGCACGCAGAAGATCTGGTTGTTACCCTATTATGGTGAAAAGGTAAGAATAACATGGGTGGGAGGGCGGGGGGGAGAACCGGTTTGGTGACATCATATCATCACCGCTACCGGCTCGGCCGAACCAGACCGAACCAGGAGGAACCCACCACTGGTGCCATAGGTTCGCCATCACGATCATAGGCAGTGGTGGAATTCAATTTTTTTTACTACTGGTTCTGTGAGTGTGGCTTGGTGAGCGTGGCTTGTGGGCATGGCAGGGGAAGGATACTGCAAAATCTCCATTCCCACCCCACTCCAGGGGAAGGATACTGCAAAATCTCCATTCCCACCCCACTCCAGGGGAAGGATACTGCAAAATCCCCATTCCCACTCCACTCCAGGGGAAGGATATTGCAAAATATCCATCTAACACCTCTCCCACACGAGCTGCACTGGCTCCCGGTGGTCTCTTCAGCTCTGTCCTCATCGTGCCCAGAGAGAG